AAATACTAGTAATTCGTAAGAAAGAGAAGACCCCATGGACATTCAAAAAGCCAGGGAAGCAATTTCTGTCATGGAACAACTAAGAGATACTTGCACCCAGTACAAATTCAGGTCAACTGGCCAAGTATTGAGTTCAATCCAGCATAATCAAGATTACCATGGTCTCTGCCAATTCAGGACTCTTGCCTTTGGCTAGAGCGGATCTGCCAGCAACTCAGTCTCAGTAGATGCTCTGTAGATGATGTGAGTAAAGTATGAGTACAGCTCATCCTTTACAAGCATAGGTTTAACCTGCATGAATTGTGTGGATTCTCTTTTTAAATGCCGTATGGCACTAATCATCAAGAAGTAAGAAGTACGTCTCTTCAGTAAAGTGTGTATCTCAGTAAAAAGTGATCTCTTGTGGTTATTTTTCTTTGTTTCTAGTGCTACACCTTCAACCCCGACTAACACCATGGTACCCAGGCACAGTGCTGGTGATCACTTCTAGTGATGCCGCTAGAAGTGCTACCATGAAGCAGAGAGAAGTATGACAGTACAGAAAACAGTTTAACAGTAAGTTGAGGTCTGCAGCTTCAGTTGCCTGCCTTTTCAGGGTGAATGAAGGTCATTATAGAAAAAGAAAAGGAAATTCACGGAGCTGTTGCTGCAGTCACACCAGCAGGTACAGAAACTTTGCACTTCCTGTGAAATACTTTTTTTTATCTTGTATGACAGCGGAAGCTTTAATGTGGATGCAGTATGTATTTGTTGTTGTTATATGCCATCCAGTAGCTTCCAACCAATAGCAACTTTATGTGAACATAATACATGTAACATACAAAATATGTTAATTCATATAATTTTTACTCTCGCAAATGCGGGGCACCAGCCCCCATAATAGAATGGGTCCAAGGGACGGCTGTGTAATTGAGGTGTAAAATTAAAGAGACATCAGACAAGATAAGGCATGCAAATGCTCACCTCCAGGGCCACCATGACTTCAGGAGCCAGGTCCGTGCAGAGAGAGAGAATATATTTCCAACCGAGGCTTATATACACTCAGAAGGGTCGAAAGCTCCCCTAATTACAGGAAACCACATACAAAACAAAGTGGGTTGCACCCTAACTCTAAAGGTCTCTGAGTACACAGGATGACCTGTGTACTAATACCAGTGCTCTGGACAAATGGGGAGTGGCTGTCTTCCAGAGAGCAATAGCATATGTCTGCTCCTATACTTAAAGCTGCAGGCTAGATAGCAATCAGGCATGTGCTTGTAAGAGGTAACTTTAAAGTAACCCTATTTTGGGAGGATATACTGAGGAACAACATTAATTATGAGAATGTGAATGGGACTCACCTCCAGCTCACAAGGGTGAAGGCCTCCCTCCACCCCCAGAAACCCAGCCTACCGGGCTTCTTAATATATGAGAATAAAGGATTCAGCTGGATATACTCTCTTCCCATTATCTGCTTCCCATACCCAAATTTAACTCCTAATAGCTTGCTGTTGACCAAAAGTCTTACTGATAGTATAGTCGATTAACCTATTTTGTATGCTATATGAAGGTTTTTCTTGAATGAGAAGGGGGACAGCATCTTCTAACCCAGGTTGTTCAGGGGTTAACTCTAATTTGCTACATGCTATAAAGTAACAGAAAAGTTGGTGATAAAAATAGTAATGATCATGATGGTTTTTAATGACAGCTAGTCCTACATTCCTCTAGTGATAGCTAGCCCTATAGACAAGTATCTGTTTGTTGTATCCTGATGACTTGAATGTTGCTGTGATACTGTGCCAACATTATTTTAAAACTAGCAGGGTCACCTATGATGGACAGGTTTACGTAGAACTTTCAGATTAAGACACACTAGGAAGAACGATCCGGTGATCTTTTGTTTAAAAATTGGCCAGTAAAACACTTGACATATCACATCAGAACATTGTCTGATATAGGGCCAGAATATGAGCACCTCAAGTTAGAAGGCACTCAAAATACTACTGGAGGAAGAGCTGCCTCTTTATTAATTTTTTCCTTTTTAAAATCATTTTATTGGGGGCTCGTACAACTCTTATCACAATCCATACATACATCCATTGTGTCAAGCACATTTGTGCATTTGTTGCCATCATCATTCTCAAAACATTTGCTTTCCACTTGAGCCCTTGGTATCCGTTCCTCATTTTCCCCCTCCCTCCCCTCTGATAATTTATAAATTATTATTATTTTGTCATGTCTTACACTGTCTGATCACAAGGAGCTACATATAACCCCCTCCCTGGGGGACGGACAACAGAAAAGTGGATGAAGGAAGATGTCGGTCAGTGTAAGACATGAGCTGCCTCTTTCAAGCAGAGGTTGCCTTACCGATGTGGATGGAGCAAAGCTTTTGGGATCTTCATTCGTTTATGGGGTACAACTTGAAATGAGAAGAAGCAGCTTTAAACATTCATTGGTTGATATGAGGAACTCAAAATATATGAAAAATGCCTCTAGGAACATTGGAAGTGGTCAGAAATGAAATAGAATGCATAGAAATTGATATCCTAGGCATCCGTGAACTAAAACGGACTGGTCTTGGCCATTTCCAATTGGACAATGGTTTACTATGTTGGAAGTAAGAAATTGAAGATGAATGGCATTTCACTCTGATAGGATAATATTCCTGAAGGGAAAGTCAGTTAATTAAAACTGTTATTGAAATTTCTGCATTGAAGGACATTGGGCCTCCACTCACGTACTCCCTCAATGCAAGAATACATTCTTCTATTAAATGGGCATTCTATGATGCTCACCTTCCCAACACAACTGCTGAAGATAAAGCGGGTGAATAAGCAAATGTGGTGAAGAAAGCTGATGGTGCCCGGCTATCAAAAGATATAGCTTCTGGGGTCTTAAAAGCTTGAAGGAAAACAAGCGGCCATCTAGCTCAGAAGCAACAACGCCCACATGGAAGAACACACCAGCCTGTGTGATCACGAGGTGTCCAAGGGATCAGGTATCAGGCTTCACCAGAACAAAAAATCTTACCATAGTGAATGAGAGGGGGAGTGCAGAGTGGAGAATCAAAATCCATTTGCAGATGGGTCTCGGGGAGGAGACAAGCCAGTCAGGGTGCGATGTAGCAACGATGAAAAATACAACTTTCCTCTAGTTCCTAAATGTTTCCTCCCCACTCCCACTATCATGATCCCAATTCTACCTTGCAAATCTGGCTAGACCAGAGGATGTGCACTGGTACAGACAGGAACTGGAAATACAGGGAATACAGGGAGGATGAACCCTACAGTACCAGTGGTGTGAGTGGCGATACTGGGAGGGTAGAGGGAGAGTGGGTAGGAAAGAGGGAACCGATTACAAGGAACTATGTGTGACCTCCTCCCTGGGGGAGGGACAACCGAAAAATGGGTGAAGCGAGACTTTGGACAGGGCAAGATATGACAAAATTACAATTTATAAACTATCAAGGGCTCATGAGGGAGGGGGGAGCAGGGAGGGAAGGGGAAAATGAGGACCTAATGCCAGGGGCTTAAGTGGAGAGGAAATGTTTTGAGAATGATGAGGGCAATGAATGTACAAATGCGCTTTACACAATTGATGTATGTATGGATTGTGATAAGAGTTGTATGAGCCCCTAATAAAATGATTAAAAATTTAAAAAAATCTTTTCTTGAATTTGTATAATAGTGATCTCATACAATATTTGTCATTTTGTGAGTGCCTAGTTTCACTCAGCATGAGGTCCTCTAGCTTCACCCAAGTTATGAGGTGTTTCAAAGACTCAGTGTTGTAATTGAATGTTGCATAGAATTCCATTGTGAGCATATATCAAAGTTTGTTTATGTATTTTTCCCTGATGGGCATTTAGGTTGTTTCCATTGTTTTGCTACTGTGAATAGTACCGCAATGAACAAAGATGGGTATGCATATATCTATTTGTTCTGAAGCACTTATTTCCAATAAAATACTTCTTACTAACAGAAAAAAATATCCCAAACTTTGAGAAAGACAACATAGGTTAGAACTTTTTCTTGCACTGTAGAGCTGGGCTTCACTTTCTATTGGTTGGTTTATTTTCCAACTCTGTAGATGCTAATGTTAACTTATCTTTTGTCTAATGAATATGCAAATTATTTCTCTCCAGTTAACCTCAAAGGCTAAGAGTTTATTGGCCTGTAAGATATTAACCAGTTCATATTTAGCGTAGCATGTTATCTTCTTGTTAACTTACCTGTGTTTATTATATATAACGTATTAACATTTATCTTCTTAAACTGTTTTCATAATGTTAGTGTGGGGACCCTGATTTAACCAAATTATGTATTTCACTAATGCCAGTCTCTGGACTTCATTTTAACATAGTTTGTTTCTGACTATGAAATCCTATGAAGCTGTATGGAAATTGTGTTTACACATGCTTTTCCAAGGATGACACATTTTCTATTTCTCCAAATATTCAAAGGTTATTTTGTCCCCAAATAGACCCATGTATTATAGTTTTCTGTGGCTGCATTATATTTCTGTAACAGTTTCTTTAAGACTAGAATCATGAAAATCCTATTTCATTCACATGCCATCCTACTTCCATGTTTTAGGTGGCAATGTAGCAAACACTTGTACTTTGCATTGGAAAATGTGCAGCTTTGGCCCACTCAGCTCTCAAAAGCTGACTCCATCCCAACTTTCCAAGAGCATCCCTCATGAAACTCCTTTCACTTATTGCAGGCAACTTGGGCACACCTCTACTACTAGAACAGATTGAATCCTGGTTTGTTTTTTCGGTCACACTGCCCACTTCCAAGAATGTCCTTATCTTACCCCACCTCCTAGTGATCAATTTAAGTGGATTCCTTTTCTTTGAAGCATTACCCAAGTACTGCAGTCATCGCTTCTTGTCTGGAGAAAGAGATTTTTCCAATGAGCATACGTTTATCATTATTACTAATTATCTGTGTTTGTATGCATGCACAATGTTGTTACACTTAGTTTTTAAGCTGAAGGAGAAAACTCATTTCTACTCTTTTTGACACCGAACTTTATTGAAAACACAACTGTACTCAAATGACATTCAAACGACAAGAGAACAGCTTAGGTGACTTAGTTCACTACAAGCTCAATACTGAAAAATACTGCAAGGTGGACAGCAAGATGATTAACAACAAATGCATTTTCAGTTCTCATAGTCATTTGGCAATGATGAAGTGATCCAGTTCAAACCAAGAGCTATACGAAGTTAACAACAGCATTAAAAATACAACGTATGACATCAACCAAACTGTGAAAATCCAAAGCACTACTCAGTGTTCTTTGGGAATATAAGGCCGATCTGATGCAGATTGTCAACTGTCCTAACTTCATTTTCCCACCTTACGACCTTTCTGGTTGTTCATTTGGGCTTGTAATTCCTTATCTAAGGTCTCAAATTCATGGAATGCAGAAACAAATGGCTCAAGACTAAAATCATCATTGATTGAGGACATCACTCCCTTTTTTATATGATTACTGATATTCTGAAACATTTTAATAAGAATTTCAATATTATCATTGGTCTCTTTTATGTTAAAGAGACCTATAAATATTGATAGAGCTTTGGCACTGAATATGCTTTTTGCCACATTAGGATTTTCCGAAAAATTCAGTAACATTTTCAGAATGTGAAACTTTGTTTCCCTATTGCCCGTAGCTAATAAGGACAGAAACCCTGGCACATAAATGGCCACCAGTGTGTGATAGTCAGTAGTAGTGGTGAGGTCTCTAATCATCTTTATTCCAGACAACTGCTCAGGGGAATCTAAGTTATGAGCGAGGGTTTCCTCACAGACTTGACAAATGAAGGTCTCAACCATAGTTTGATTTGCATGCAGTGGAGTCGTGTGAACCAGGTTTTCTAAAAACGTCGTCTTCCCTCGAGAGGAAGGATAATTGAATAAGGTTTCAATTAGCGAGACAACACCTGCATCTCGAATGAAATCTCGGGTAAACTGAGAAGCACTTTTTGTACCCATTGCGATTTTAGAGATTTCATGAATGAAAGGATCTTGAGTTTTGTCCCTCAATAAAAGTAGTTCTTCAAACTCTTCAGAACCAATCCCAAGCTCACATTGCACGCACTTACACAACCAATTCCCGGGCTCTGCACTCTTCTTGGTCTTAAGATGCTGCCGAATTTCCTCTACTGACAAGTAGGAAGGCTGATATTGAAATGGGAACCTAGGGTCAGGATCATCCTGACTAGGCTGATGCAAGCATTCCTGCTCTTCCCCTTCTGGGCTCAGTTCCATTTGCTTGAGGTTTCCTTCCATCATTTCAGAGAGTTCAGATATTGCTTCTTCAGGAATTCTAAAGGGGCTTAGAGATGGGAAGCCAAGCTCATGGCAAGGAAGAGGCTTGAATTCCGCAGTGACCTCTTCCCAGCTTGGAGGCCTGGATGGAACATCAATTTCCTGCTCAGCCAAACCATGGAACCGGCAACTGGCCCTGCACACAGGGCTTGGGTTTAGGTCAAAGCAGGCCTCATCTCTGTCCCAGAACCAGGACCCAAATATGGCCTCTTCTTCAGATTCTGGCCTGGCCTCTTCTCTGGCCCCAGCACCCATACTGGCCTCATCTTCAGTCCATAATAAAGATCCCAAAATGGCCCCTTCCTTAGCCCCTGGCATGGATTCATAGCTGGCCCCAGCCCCAGCCTCCATACTGGCCTCTTTTTCTGCCCAGAACCAAGAACCAATAATGACCTCTTCCTCAGGCCTTAGCTCTTGTTTGACCCTGTCTCTGTTGTTTCCATCTTTATGGGCCCTGGGATTTGAACTGCTTTTTGACTCTTTCTTGTCTCTTGGCCTGAATATACTATTGGACTCTTCAGGCAAAAACCAGGACTCCTTGTGGAATTCATCTTCAGATCCAGATTCAAAATTGTCCTCTCTCTTTGACCTAGGTTTGGGCCTGATATTTGCTTCTTCCCTGGCGCTGGGCCTGTACGAGGTATTGGTATTTTCTCCAGCCCAGAGGCAATAAAGATTGCCAGTCTCATCCTCAGACCCAGACCTAGAATCAATAAAGGGCCCTTGTTTTATTCTGGGTCTGGACCGGGTATTGGTCTGTTGTTTAGCCCTGTGCCTGGACCTGGAATTTGCCTCATCCTTGGGCCATGATCTTAGATTTGTCTCTTCCCCTGTCCAGAAAGAAGGCACTGTAGAAGTCTCATCTGCTGACCAGAATCCAGATTCATCTGAGGTCTCTTGTTTGGCTCTTGGCCTGGGATAGCACCAAGACCCCATATTACTCTCCTCCCCTGACCCAAACCAGGGCTGTATTCCAGCCTGTACATTTGTGCCAGATAAGGACTCATTCTCCACATCAACCAGCTCCCGATCTACAGACAATGTCTTAGTTCTAGCGATTGGCCTAGACTCAGAACTGACAAGTGGCCAGGTCACAACATTGGCTGGGGTCACTTCTTCTGTCTCAGCCCCGGCCTCAGCCCCAAACTCAGTCTGGGACCATGCCTGGATTTCATCCTTGGGCCTTGCCCCAGCCATTGCCTTAGACTCAGTCTTAGGCCGTGCCCCAGCGATTGCTGGGACCTCAGTCTTGGGCCGTGCCCCAGCCAGTGCCATGGACTCAGTTTGGGGCCATGCCCCAGCCATTGCCAAGGTCTCTGTCTTGGGCCGTGCCCCAGTCATTGCCATGGCCTCAGTTCTGGGCCGTGCCCCAGCCATTGTCATGGCCTCAGTTTTGGGACGTGCCCCAGCCATTACCTTGGCCTCAGTTTTGGGCCGTGCTCCAGCTAGTGCCATGGCTTCAGTTTTAGGCCGTGCCCCAGACATTGTCTGAGCCTCACCCTTGGGTCTTGCTCCAGTCATTGCTTTGGCCTCACTTTGGGGCTGTACTCCAGTCATTACCTGGGTTTGGGTTCTCACCTTGGGTCTGACCACCAGAGGGATTTCAGTCTCCCTTTCTGCCCGTCCCCCAATCTCTTCCCCAGCCTTCTTTGCAGACTTTGCCTGGGTACAAGGCTCAATCTCTGCCCCAGTCATGGTCTCAGTTACACAGGAGGTCCAGTATCTACCCCTACACAGTCTCAGCCTTAGCCACAGACCTATCACAGGCTTGGAAATTCACCCTGTGATCGTCAGCTGATTCAGAATATAAAGGAAGCAAGTGTTAAAGTCAATCTGCAGTCCAGCAGTCAATCAGGTTCCTTTCCAAGGACAGTCTCTGTCAACAAAACAATGTTCAGAGGAAGTACAACCAGGCTGGGGAAGGATGAATCATTCTTGGGTGGGTGCAGACCTGTTGAGAGTGGTGACCAGCAGTAACTCCACCACCACCAGAGATGCCACTAGCGATGGATCTAGGGTAGAGACAAAGGAAATGGACCCTTACTTCATGCAGACACTTGTACATAGAGATTGAAGCTGGAATGCTTGGTGGGGCAGCTGGGTAATTAGAAAAACATATCTCTCTCCCCTCATTTCACCCATACATCTTACCTCCAGAGGTGCTGTGCTCCTTTGGCTATTACAAAACATGTAATGGAGTGGAGTGAACATGGGGTGTCAATGAGAAAGGATAAAGGAGTATTCCCAGACTGAATTCTAACCACTAAAGTCTACTCATTCCCATACCAACTTGCTCCAATCTGGCTGGTGTGAGTCCTCCTTCTTTTCCCTGCTTTCAGCAGTGTCAAGCCCCACAGTAGACCTGCCGGCAGTCCTAGGCACAAACAAAAAGAGGAGTCTAAATGCTTGGTAGTGTACAGGTACACACTTTGGCCATTGCTGCAAATATCTCCTTTTCCATTCGGGGGTTCAATTTGTCTAATGAACCCTAACTCCTGGTCTTGCTTCTTAGAATATTTCTAAGACTCTCTAACCTGGAAACTGTGGCAGTGCAGGGATTTGGCAGAGTAGAAGAGGTGGAAGAAACCTTGAATCTGCTTAGGGCATGCTCTTCCTCCCTAGTTCCCAGGCATTGTCCCACTGCATACCAACCTCCAGAGGTTTGAACCAGTATCCTCCTTCTTTCCTTCCTTGCAGAATTGACCAGCTCTAAAGCAGGCCTATAGACAAACAAATGCAAAGTTGAGACAGTCCGGAAACAGTGGTAGCAAATGAGTGCTTGTGGACCAATCAATACCAAGGAGTGGAATCCCAGTATTATCTCCCATTCAACATTCTAGATCCTGTTGGGGATTATTCTCCAGATCTCTGTAGCAAAGTTTCAGGAATGATAAACCCCTTCTTTTCACCCTTCCCTCCCCCATTACTTCTTTTACCAATTCTGAGGATGCACCACTAGATGGAACACACCCCCTTGCCCTGCAGGATATAGATTGGGGGAAGGGTGCCTGCATATTTGGAAAACGAAGCTGGGAAGAGGTACCAGTAATTGGACTCTCTAGTCCACCCCACCACCAAAACCCATCTTCTTCTGGCTCCAACAAGGTGGGAAAAGGGCAAGGGAGAGGGATGAGAGAGCGGGTAAGAAGAAAAGTGCTTAGAACACTAGTGGCAAAGGGAAAACGAGTAGAAAAGGGAATCGTGTTCCAGAACTTTCTCTGATGCCACTTTTCCCATCTCAAAATCAGAGACTCCAGTCAGTCCCTGCAGCCCCCACACCTCACAAATCCAGACCACTTTCCTGCTCCTCTGCTCAGGCCTCTCCTCTGCAGTGCACACTGCAGCTTGGCAAAATCCGCGGATTCCTAACAGGCAGACCAGAGGCTTTGGCATCATGGGTCGCCCAGGAGAAGGGGGCAGCAACAACAGGGTTGGGGGTAGCCCCCAAATCACGGGGTCCATGGGGGTCTTTTTCCTGAATGAAGTCCAGAACACACCTGCCCCATGTCAGCTCCGCACTGAGTTCTCATGATGACAGTTCCTTTCCTGGAGACCCACAACCTAACCCCCCATCTCCATCCCCACCCCCGCTCCCCTCCGCCATTTCTCCTGCACAGCCCTCGCCTACCACACACATAGGAGGAAGGGTTTTCCGGGCCAGAGCGCTAGGAAGTGCCTGGCGCGGCTTATTTCCAGAGGAACTGAGGTGTCTCAAGAGCCCACCCGCTGAGTCCCCAGCCTGCGAGCGCTGGTCGCCTGCCTCCTCCTCCACCATGGCTCCCTGATGCTGCGCACCTCTCCAGGACCTGCTCGGACGGGTCGCCTCCTTGTCAGGCCGCCAGGACCCGAGGCGCAAGCGGTCAGAGGGTCAGCAGTGATGGGACCCTTCCTCCAGTGCCCACCGCACCCTCACTTGCCTTCCCAGGCCTGGGCTCAGGTCGTCGGCCTCCCGGTCCTCTGGCCGGTCCTCACTCAGATCCCTACCGCCTTCCGTGCGGTCAGATGGCAAAGAGGCGCCGCCGCCCCCGCGCTGCTGCACCAAAGTGGGCAGGGGCTGCGCAGGAGTGCGGCACCGAGCGCTGGCAGCGAGGGCGACGGGAGGGGGGCGGAGGGATACGGCGGCGCAAAGGGGCTCGATGCGCCCACCCCCGCGCCAGGCCCCCCGCCAGGCCCCCCGCAGTCCCTAACCAGAGGTGGGCGGGGCCGGAAGCAGCCCCAGCCAGGAGAAAGACTTTCACACAAGGTTGCTCTCCTCTAGGAGGCCTTTTTGGGGCGACCACCACGTTTTATGCCACTGGCTCTTGGGGGAGGCCCCGGGGTGGGGTAGCGGTCAGTGCTGGGGGCAGGAGCTGGAGGTCGTGATCCAGCAGTGGATGGATGAATATTGAAGTTCCCCTTGGCCAGCGTTGCCCACTGCCTGCTAAGTAGCCCCTCTCCCCTGGCTGAAGGCTAGTGTCCAAGCTGGGGTGGCGGGGAGGGCATTGGTCAGGAACGAAAACCTGATTTCCCATACTGATGGCAAGCATTCACCACTGAAACACTGAACGGAGTTCAGTCTAACAGGTTGCAGTTAGTTAACGTTTCGCTGCCCGGTGCCACCACTAGCAACTGTGTGTGGCATCCTGACTTGGCCCTGAATCTAAATTTCAGAACCAAATTGGAGTTCACAACCAATGTTAAGGCCAGGCTGAGAAGCAGCTGTGTTGATTCAGAATTTCCTACCCTTCTAGCTCACTGAAGCCCCACTCCACCTCCCACGAGTGCCTGTGAACTTTCAGAACAGCCTACCCCTTGCTTGCTCCTTTCAATCAAGGCAGAGACTCCCCGCCTCGCCCGCCCCCCCCCACGCCCCCGCCGCCATGGACCTTAACTTGGTTCCACATTTGTCTCAGGTAAATTGACTTCCTGGGACCGCTCCATTTGTTCCAGGTTGCTCGCAAACAGTGACAGTCTTAGAATAGAATCCCCTCTCCCAGCTAAGCTTTTCAGGAGCTCTGTTGCTGTCCTTAAGTGCCATCAAGTGGGTTCCAATTCTTAGCAACCTATGCACACCAGAAGGAAACACTGCCAGGTCCTGCGCCGTTTTCACATTGTTACAGCCCACTATGTCAATCCGTCTTGCAGGGAGTCTTCCTCTTTGCTGCCTCTACCAAACCAATGTCCTTTTCCAGGAACTGGCTTCTTTACCCGCAGGCTGGGGCTGGGCTATGCAGAGGATGAAGAAGGTGCACTGAGAAAATAGGGCAGGCACATCCTGGAGGGGGCTGACAATCTGACTGAGATGGGGCCTGGGGACCGCATCCTGTTGCTGAATTTACCCATGATTTCTGCACAGCTGAGCTCAGAAACCTGCTATCTGTCTCTCTCCAGGGGTACAGCCCATAGCTCCCAGGCTTCTGCTGGAAAGGCAGATTTTAAGGTCTGGAGCAGAAGCCTTGCGCCCAGTCCACTTGTACATGATCTGGGAGCCTCTTTGAAAGGTTCTCATGATTTCTACACTTGGGAGCCGGGCACTGGGTGCCAAGATCCCATGAGAATATTCAGTAAAGTAATTGGTAAAATGACCCCAAAGGAAGTTGCCTTGCAGTAGAGGCTGAGAAGCCTCCAGGCAGGAATTCACTGCTTGAGTCTGGGGCATATTGAGTGAATCCCTGTGTGGGAGCAGGAAAGGGGTGGGAGGGATCTGCCTCAAGAGATTTCGTCCTGAGGCAAGGCAGCCTTCCTGTGCTCAATGAAGGCAGCTCAGAAGGACTGCCTTTGTCATTAGGGTAGTAGAGCTCCTCTTCTGTGTTTATCATAGTAATGGCAAAGCTATAACTAAATCCAGAAGGGGTTATTTTATAGTTAAAATCTGTAACATTCTGGGTGGCAGGTGGCCAATAACAAAGTATAACGTTAAAGAAAGCAAATCATCTTCCTCTCCAACATAACTTTAGAGTTTCAATTAATATTCAGCTCTGATATCACAAGGACTCAGGGCGTGGATTCTGGTTGGGAAAACTCGAAAGCAGTTGGACAGGATTAGGTGCCTGGCTAAAGCTTAGAATAGCAGTAACCCTTGGACTTATTATGTGAAAACTAACTTCAGCACATAAGAAATACCTACACCAAACCTGTTCTCATCTAGTTTGTTCTGAATCACAGTTATGTCACAGGACAGAGTAGAACAGATCCACGATTTTTTAATTATTATTTTTTAATTTCAATAGCTGCTCAAAGGCACTTCTTTTTAAAAAAATCATTTTATTAGGAGCTCATGCAACTCTTATCACAATCTATACATACATCAATTGTGTAAAGCACATTTGTACATTCGTTGCCCTCATCATTCTCAAAACATTTCCTCTCCACCTAAGCCCCTGGCATCAGCACCTCATTTTATCCCCTCCCTCCCCGCTCCTCCCTCCCTCATGAACCTTTGATAATTTATAAATTATTATATTGTCATATGATCCACGGGACTTCTAAGGCTGTTATCTTTATAGGAGCAGTCTATCATGTCTTTCTCCTATGGGATGGATTTGAACTGCAGACCTTTCAGTTAGCAAATGTACACTTAACCACTGATCCACCAAGAGGCTAGTAAAACCCATGGAGCTGATGTTCAGAATAGTGTTTTCAAGGCACTCAGAAGCAGATCTCCAGGCATTTATTCCAGGGTGTCTCTGCAAGGTTTGCACTGCCAACCTTTTGGTTAGTAGTTGAAGGCCTAAAAGCTTGTGCCACGCAGGACTTCACAGGAGCTACTAAAGAAAGGTAATTACTTTTTGAGGCAAAATAAATCCTGAATTTCCACAATATTATCAATTATTGACAATTAGTGGAGTGCCGATTTACATTTGTAAGTTAAAACAAATAATGATAAATCCATAGTATCTTTTTAGGGGGTGCTTGTTCTTACGTAACAATCACGTCCTGGCTCACCGTGATTGAGACTCTCATAATCTACATCCAACCAGAAAATGGGGAACAGAGTGGACTTGGTCCACCTGCCTTTTAATATCCTTGTCAAGAAATGCCCACATGGGGATTGTAGAGAGAAGGTGACATAAGCGGAACACTGTTCTGCCCCACCCCCCTCAGATAAACGGAAACCTCACCGCTGTGGAGTCAATGCTAACTCATAAGCGATCCCCTGTGGGTTTCTGCCACTGTATCTGTTTGCCGGAGTAGAGCTACTGGTGGTTTCAAACTGTAGACCATGCGGGTCCCAGCCCAACCTCACCACTAGGGTTCCCATCAGCCCTAAATAGGAAAAGGTGCTGAGCTGTGAGGGACTCTGAATCTCATAGCTGAGGCAAGAATCAACATATCAACAAGCCACATACAGTGGGAAAATTGTTTCCTCCCACCATCCCTGCCCCTGCCCCTGCCCCCAACCACCTGGGCTGCTGTCAATTGGGGTGGCAGCCTGCTTCCCCAACCACCACAGTCCTAGACTGTACAAAAAGACAGGACCCCAAACTGCTGCCCTAAATTCAACAAAGCAGATTTCCCACGGAATTATTTGAAGCCCGAGGGAAAAGATGACACATTTCCTTATCAATCATTTTCCAGAAGAAGAGACCATGGAAGTGTTTGGGCAGAGAAAGGCACAATGATTGAATAGACCCTTGGTTTCAGGCCTGGCAACAAAAACACAGCATGAACTATGAGGTGCAAACACATCACCTGCAGGATGTGGAAAGCCAGTCAAGAGTAGAATAAAAACTTGAATTACCATCCTATGAACCACTCAGACCAACTGGGATACCCTTCAGTGTTCCATGCTGAAGTAACTCCTGAGTAAATTCACTTATTCCTTTCAAACGTTTTCTCTCTTCCTCCTCTGAATACTTCCTTGTGAGCAATGGGACAAGATCAGCAAGAAGAAATGCTTGAAACGGAGAGTTCCCTCCCAGTAACGTCAGGAACTATCAAAGAGGGAAACCTAAGCAGTGAGTGGCCTTCTAGATTGTTAGAAATTGGGGACTTGCGGGGTAGAAAGGGGGAACCGATTACAAGGCTCTACATATAACGCCCGCCCTGGGGGACAGACAACAGAAAAGTGGGTGAAGGGAGACGTCCGACAGTGTAAGACATGATAAAATAATAATAATTTGTAAATTATTAAGGGTTCATGAGGGAGTGGGGTGGGAGGGGGTAAAATGAAGAGCTGATACCAAGGGCTCAAGTAGAAAGCAAATGTTTTGAGAATGATGATGGCAACAAATGTAGAAATGTGCTTGACACAATGGATGGATGTATGGATTGTGATAAGAGTTGTACGAGGCCCCCCAAAATGACTTTTTTTTAAAAAAGAAAGAAATTGGCCACTTGACTTTCACACAAAATGATGCCCAGCTTAAAAGAAAGCTTTGCTGCCTTGGTTGGGCAGAAATGTTAGAAGAGGATTCACCATGGACTTCTCTCTCATCCTCAGGGGCAATCTGTTTTAAGTTTTCTTTCCATGAACAAACTGCCCTTTTGTAATTTGTGATTACACACTTCTTTTAAGGAGTACACTCTAGAAAAACCTATTAGTTTTTTACTGATAGGATAAGGCCTTTCTAAAACAGGTCATTTATTAATATATATATAATTTTTATCTCCAGACAATATTAAACTTAATAACAAAATATAAATATCTATGTTTCTTTTTTCGTGTTTGTTTTTAATAACTCATATTTGATTTTGTTAGTTTTCTGGTAGTAACTACTATGAGGGAAAAGGAAGTTCTGAGTAATATATATTCATATATTCCTGGAACGAGTACAAAGTTGCATGGAGGACCACATAAGAGTTTGAGATTGAAAATGGCTTTTGGGAAGCACAAAAAAACACATGGAAAATGGCCGGAAAGGGAAGGCAGAGGAACCAAAAGGGGAGCGTCAGAACTGAAAGAG